GCGATGGCGACGCGAGACGGAGACGTGGGGGCGGCCGGGGGGGGGGGGGGGGGAGTGCAGGGGGTGGGGGGGCGTGCGGGGGGCAGCGGGTGGGGGGCCGGGCGGAGCCCCCCACCCCGGGACAAGCTGCCCCAGAGCACCGTGCGGCCGCTTGGGGGGGCCCCGGCCCGGCTGGGGGGGGTCACGGTGGCTGATTAAGACACGTCCCGCGATGGGAGCACGCGGGGGGTGTGTGGGAACACGTGGGCAGCACGTGGGCACGGCACCGGCACCGCACTGACATGCGTGGGCACGGCGCCGGCACCGGCATTGCACCAACATGAACTGCCACGGCACCGACGCGGCACCGTCACGGCGCCAACGCGCATGCCCATGGCACCAACACGCGTGGCCATGGCACCAACATGCATTGCCATGGCACTGACATGGCACGGCCACGGCACCGGCACAATACCAGCACCCGCGGCCACAGCACCGGCACGGTCACGGCACCAACACGCGTGGCCATGGCACGAACATGGCATGGCCACGGCACCACGGGGGGCATCGCCCGGGTGCCACAGCCCCGGCCCGAAGGCACGTGTTGGGGCTGGTGCTGCCGGGGGGGTGGGGGGTGAACCCCCAAACCCTGTGCCCCCCCAGCACGGGCGTCAGTGGTCGGCTCCTATTGCACCACCCACAGCCGGTGCCACCGGGACCCCCAGTGCCAGGACCCCCTGAGCCGGGACCCCCTGAGCCAGGCACCCGGGTGGGGGTTTAAGACATTTTGCACCAAGGTCAAATCCGGTGCTGGTACTTGGGGCCGGGGGCATGTGCCCCCCCCAGGGCACCCCGGGGTGCCACGGCCCCGCTGTGCCCCCCGACCCGGCTGCAGGGGGTCCGGCAGGGCCCCCTGACATGACCCCCATGGTGGGGGTGTCTGGGGTGTTGGGGGGAGCCCAGCCTGGCCCCCTGTGCCCAGGGTGGGGGGGACGTGTCTGGTGTTGGGATTTTCTGCTTTTAAACGACCCGTAAAAAGATTTTTTTTTTTAATTACAAAAATTATATATTTTATATATATTTATATATATATATATATATATATATTAGCTTAGGTGGGCCCGGCCTGCCTCGCCGGCCCCCCCGGCCCGCGCCCCCCCTCGGCCTCCGCCTGAGGTAAGAAAAAATTCACAAACCTAAATTTCGGGGGGGGGAAAAGGTGATAAAACCATTCCCGGGTGCTCCCGTTGCAGCTGTGCCTCCCCCCCCCCAAAACCCCCCATGGGACCCCCCTGCCAGCCCCCCCCCCAGCCCGGCCCCCCCAGGAGCATTGGGGGGGGCGGTTGGGGGTGCAGCCCCCCCGAAGTGCTGCTGCCGGGGGGCTGGGGCAGTAGTGCAGTGGGGGGGGCCAGGGGGGGCACCCTCTGCCCCCCCCCCGGCGCCTCCGGGGCCTTTGCAACTCCTGACGGACACGACAAAACCCACGAGGACGAGGGGAAAAACAACAAAAAAAAAAAGGACAACGGAAAAGTTGGGGGGGTTTGGGGGGGGGGGGCAGGCCCCCCGGCGCCTCCGGGGCCTTTGCAACTCCTGACGGACACGACAAAACCCACGAGGACGAGGGGAAAAACAACAAAAAAAAAAAGGACAACGGAAAAGTTGGGGGGGTTTGAGGGGGGGGGGCAGGCCCCCCCCCCAGCGTCCTGCAGCGCCCACCGTCCGCGGCGCTTGGCACAAAATTGTCTTCTCTCAGCCCAAAAAAAAAGACAGAGAACCCCCAAAACCCCGAATCTGGCCCCGAATCTGGGGATAAAGGGGAGGGCACGGGGGAAGGGGGGGTCACCCCAGCCGGGGCAGACCCAGTGGGCTGGGGGGGTCCACCAGCCCTGCGCCCCGATGGGCTGGGGTCCCCCCGCTGCCGCTGTGCCCCCCGTGCCCCCTGCCCTGCTATGGGGGGGTCCTGGCCCCCACCTCGCTATGGGAGGGGTCCTGGCCCTCACCCTATTAGGGGGGATGGGGGTCCTGGCCCCCCGCCCTGCTTTTGGGGGGGTCCTGGCCCTCACCCCACTATGGGGATGAGGGTCCCAGCCCCTGCCCCTGCTATGGGGGGGGGTCCTGGCCCCCCACCCTAGTCCCCCAAAATTGCTGCCCGGCCAAAAGTGCATGTGGCCACGGCCCCCCCAGCCGGGGCAGCCTCTCCCTGTGCAGCCCAGAGCCCCCTCCTCTCCTCCCCTGCTCTTCCTCCTCCTCCTCCTCCTCCTCCTTCCAAAGTGCAGTTAGTTTAATATTTTAGCCTCTCAGGGAGGGAAATAAATGCTTAAAAAATAATAATCTACGAAGAGAAGGACAATAAAGGGAACGCTCGACCGTCGGGGCCCTTCCCTGTGCAAACAAACAAAATTCGTCAAGTCCTGGGGCGGGGGGGGGCAGGGTGGCCGTGGGGGGGCACAGCGGGACCCCCGCCCTGGGCGCAGCATCCCCTTGTCCTTACCGGGGGACGAGAAAGATTTGGGGGGGGGGCCAGAGCAGGGTTGGGGGGACCCGGGGTGGGGGGGTGTCAGCCCTACACCTCCTGGTCCTCGAAGACCTCGAGGAAGAGGGGTGGGAAGAGCTCGGTGGGACACTCCACCTTCATGTGCAGGAAGCGGCTGGCGTGGCAGGCGCCGATCATCCGCAGATCCGTCACCTTCATCAGCAGCTTGGGCCAGAAGTGGGGAATGTTGTGTTTGCGGTAGTTGATGTAGTGCTCGAAGGCCAGCAGGTACGTCTCCTGGCACTTCTCGATCTTCTCCACGCAGATCAGCCCCGTCCGGTCTGCGGGGAATCACCACGGGATCATCACGGAACCATCGTGGAATCACAGCGTGGCTTGGGGTGGGAGGGACCTTAAAGCCCACCCAGTCCCACCCCCTGCCATGGGCAGGGACACCTCCCACTATCCCAGGTTGCTCCAAGCCCCGTCCAACCTGGCCTTGGACATTTCCAGGAATGGGGCAGCCACAGCTTCTCTGGGCATCCCACGCCAAGGCCTCACCCCCCTCACAGGGAGGAATTTCTTCCCAATATCTCACCTAAATCTCCTCTTTTTAGTTTAAATCCCTCCCCTTTGACTTGGCACTCTCTGTCCACGTGAGAATCTGGCATCCAAGGAGATTTGCCCTCCTACAGGGCTGAGTGCCCCACACACCCCCTGGGTTTTGGGGTTCCCACCCCACAGACCTGCATCAGCCTGGCAGGGGTCCCCAGGGCACCAAGGGGCTCAACCCATGCCCACACTTTGCAGCCCAGGTTTCAACACCACAGATTACAGTGCCCACTCCATGCTCCTGGGCACTGGGAATTGGGGTATCCACTCCTTCTAGCCTGGCACAGCTCCCCAGAGCTCTGGAGATTGGGGTGCTTACCCCACAACCTCCTGGCAAAGCTCCCTAGGTGCACTGGGGTGCCCACCCCATATCTGCCCCCAAATCCAAGGGAGCACAGTTTCCCATTCAACACACCCTGAAGATGCTGGGGGGCTTTGGCATCAGGGTGCCCACCCAACACATCCCCAGCAGAGACTCTGGGCACAGGGGTGCCCACCCAACACAGCCATAAGATATTGCAGATGCTGGGCATTAGGGTGCCCATCCAATGCATCCCCAAATGCTGGGGGCTCTGGGCACAGAGGTGCCTACCCAACACATCCCCAGGAGAGACTCTGGGCATGGTGGTGCCCACCCAACACACCCTGAAAATGTTGAGGGGGTTCTGGTATCAGGCTACTCACCTGACACACCCCCAGCATGCTGAGGACTCTGAGCATGAGGGTGCCAACCCAACACACCCCCAAAATGTTCGGGGAGCTCTGGCATCAGGCTGCTCACCTGAGACACCCCCAGCATACTGAGGACTCTGGGCACGGGAGTGCCAACCTAACACACCCCCAGGACAGACGGGCACTCAACACACTCCCAGGATACTGATGACCCTGGGCACGAGGGTGCCCACCCAACACACCCTCCGATTCCCCGGGCACCAGCGTGCCCACCCCACGCCCGCGCACACGGGTACCTGAGGACATGAGCAGCACGGCCTGGAGCAGGGCCACCTCGGTGTCGTCCAGGTTGAAGGCAGAGAGGGACTTGCCCAGGTCGAAGATGGCATCGGAGACGACGCCGAGGCCGCCGTTCTTGAGCTGCTCTCGCTTCACTGCCATCTCCCCGCTCAGCGTCAGCGTCTCGCTCTCGGGGTCGTAGCGCACGGCCGCCCGCAGCGACATGATCTCCATGCAGCACCCCTTGAGCAGGATGATCTGGTCCTCGCAAGGCAGCTGGGGGGGGGGCACGGCGGCAGTTTGGGGGGGTTTGGTGTGACTCAGACCTGGACAGTTCCACTCTGGTCCTCCCCCAAAACCTCCCGCCCTCCCCCCCCCACCCCGCCGTTACCTCCGAAAACATGGGCAGTTTTTTGGCAAAGTCGACCACGCGGGTGATGGCCGGGGTGATGATTTTTGTAAACTCGCTGAACGCCTCCAGGTCGACTTTGTCCCCGTCAGGCATGGAGGCCATGGGGGACTGGCCGATGTCCTCGGGCTGTGGGGGGCACACAGAGGTGTTGGGGGGTGTGGAGTGTGTCCCACAGGACCCCCGTGGTGGTGTTGGGGAGTGCGGTGTGACTGTGTCCCCCATCAAGACCCCCATAACAGACAGGGACACTGGGGGCTGTGGTGTAACCCTGTCCACCCCTGGGATCCCCATGGTGGACAGTGGCACATGGTGGTGCGGTGTGACCACGTGTCCCCCCCAGGACCCCCATGGCAGCACTGGGGGCTGTGACATTATTGGGACCCCCATGATGGACAGCAGCGTTGGGGGGGTATGGTGTGACCACTTCCCCCACCCTGGGGGTGATGCAGTGTGACCCTGTGCCCCCCTCAGGACCCCCATGTCACCGGGTAACACGTGTGGCAGGGCTGGGTGCAGCAGCCAGGAGAGGGAGCTACGTGACAGGGCCAGGGCCAGGGCCAGGGCTGGGGCCACCCATGGGCACAGCTGTCCCCTTCGGTCACTGCTCACCCCTGAACCCTTTGGGGGTGACCAGCTCAAGGACACCGAGCAACATCCCAACCCCCCCAACTCCACCTGCCCAAGGACACCAGTGACATCCCACACCCTGGCACTGCCAGCGCTGCTGCCACGTGTGCGCTGAGCATGTGGGTGCTCAGCAAACCCCGGCTGGGGGGTTGGGGTGCTAACAGGGTCCCTCTGCTGCATCCCCTCACCAGGAATTTCCGCTTCTGTTTCCAGTGGCTGCCCTGGGCGTTGGTGCTGCGGTGGGCTTCTGTCACCACGTGGATCAGCTCCCACTCCTCGGCGCTGGGGTTGGGGCGATGCTGCAGCGACTTGATCATCTCCTCCTTCCGCCGCCGCTCCCGGTTCTCCTCGATCAGCTTCCGCTTCGCTACCCGCTTGGAGTCATCCAGCACCACTGCCGGGACCCCCGATATCAGCTGAGAGCCCCCCACCAGCCAGGAGCCCAAACAGCCACGCATCCCATGGCTGCAGCACAGCACCCCACGCTGACACCCCAGCCTGCTCCTGACAGTGCTCCAGGCACCCCAACCCACCCCACGGCACCAGGACCACAACCCACCCCCCAGCAGCCCCCTACTATCAGCTGGGACCCCCCCTCAGTCAGCCGAGACCCTCCACTTGTGTATCCCACCCCGCTGATGCATCACGGTGCCCTGTGCCTGACACCTGGTCCTGTGGCTGCTCTGGGTACCCCAACGTGCCCCACGGTGCCAGGACCCCAACCCAGCTCCCCAAGCCAAGCCCCCCCGTGCCCCCCCACTCACAGTCCATGGCCATGCCCACGGAGATGCACTTCTTGAAGCGGCAGAGCTGGCACTGGTTGCGGGTGATCTTGTCGATAACGCAGCACCCATCGTACTTGCAGGAGTAGGTGGGGTGCAGGTTCTTCTGGATGGTCCGACGGAAAAATCCCTGGGGAAGGCGCAGTGGGGGGTGACACGGTGAGCGCCACTGAGCCCTGCTGAGTCCCCCTGAGCCCCCTGCCCCAGCTCACCTTGCAGCCCTCGCAGGTGATGCAGCGGTAGTGGTAGCCGGTGGCCTTGTCCCCGCACACCACGCACTGTTCATCTTTGTCCAGGTAACTAGGGATGTACCCTGTGGGGACCCCCGGGTCAGGGACCCCCATGGCAGAAACCCCCATGGTGCCCCAGGCCAGGGATCCCCAGCCAGGGACCCCCAGGGTACCCCAAATCAGGGGCCCACGGGGTGCTCTGTGACAGGGACCCCCATGACAGGGACCTCCAGGGCACTCCAAGTCAGGGACCCCCACAACACCCAGTACCACGGACCCTGGTATCAGGGACCCCCACATCAGAGATCCCCTGGGGGACCCCAAGTCAGAGATCTCCCCTATGCCCTGCATCAGGGACCCTTCACACATGCAGCATCAGGGACTCTCTGCACACCCCCTGCCAGGCACCCCCAGTGTGTCCCCCCTCTTTGTGCCTCAGTTTCCCCTCCGTCAGCACCCACTGAAGCCCCGACGCTGCCCCTCAGCCTGGCACGGGAAGGGTTAAAGCTGGGGGGGGGTGTCAGAGGGTGGGGGGGTGTCTGAGCCCCCCGCACCAATAAAGCCCCCATTATCCCATTATCCGGCTGGGGACCGGCAGGGGGGGGGTCCCCATCCCCCTGCTGCACAAAGACCCACTGTCCCCACCATTGTCCAGGGTCCCCCCGCCTGGCAGCCCAGGGACCAGCCCCCCAACCTCCCCCAGCTCCCCCATCACCGTCCACACGGGGAAACTGAGGCATGGAGCACCCATGACACCCGGGGGGGCCTCTCCAGCAACCCGGGACCCCTGTGCCCCCCCGGGGAGCACACCCCTGTCCTCTGTGGGTGCTGGATGTAGGGGTCCCCGGGGCAGGGGGGTGCAAAGGATGAGGGGGTGTGGGTACCTGGCACCCCAGGACCGCTGTACCCACCTGGGACCCCCCCAAACCCAGGCGTGGGGACCCCACGAGCCCACCCTGGCGCTCTGTGGGTGCTGGATGGGGGGGTCCGCGGGCGTCCCCCCACTCCCAGAGCGGGGCGGGCGCAGGGGATGGGCGGGAGCCGGACGCCCGGGTCCCCCCTGGCCCCCCCCACCCCGTCCCACCCATCGGGTCCTGCCGGCGCCGGCCGCTCCCCGCCGGGGAATGGGGCAGGGCGGGGGGGGCAGCGCCCGCGGGGCCCCCCTTATCGCCCACCCCAGGGCGCTGCCGCCCGGATGGCACCGCCCCGACCCAGGGGCGCCGAGGGGGACGCGGGGGACGGGGACCCCGGGGGACCCTGCAGGGATATGGGGTGTCCAGGGGACCCTGGGGAGACACGGGGACCTCGGGGTGCCTATCAGGGACATGGGGTATCCATGGGGGGCCTGGCTGGGACTTGGGGATCCCAAGGTGCCCACTGGGGACGTGGGGTGTCCAGGGCACCCTGGAAAGGAAATGGGGCTCCTGGGGTGCCCGCAGGGGATAAGGGGTGTCCGTGGGACCCTGGGGATGTAGTGTCCAAGGGACCCTGGGGTGCCTGGCAAGGACATCGGGTTCCCGGGGTGTACCCCAGGGACATGGGGTGTTTAAGGGACCCTGGGGTGCCTGGCAAGGACACAGGGGTCCCTGGGTGCCCACCAGGGGACAAGGGGTGCCCATGAGACTTTGGGGGACCCAGCTGAGACACAGAGTGTTCAGGGGATCCTGGCCAGGACTTGGGGACCCCGGGGCGCCCATCAGGGACACGGGGTGTCTGCGGGATGCAGGTGGGACACAGGGTGCCTGTGGAACCCAGCGAGAACGTGGGGTGCCTGGGTGACCTGGGGGTGCCCGGCAGGGCCATGGGGTGCCCGAGGGTGCCCGGGGGTCCCTGTACCTGACATGCTGCTCTTCACCAAACATTGGCTGCTCTTTCTTTTGCGCTTCCCATCCAGCCACCTGTGGGGGGGGGACAGGCTGGTACGGTGCCCATGACCCCCCACTGCCCCCCCAAACTCCCAACAGCCCCCCAAGACCCCCCATAGTCCCCCGAACTGCCCCAGTCCCCTTTGCAGCTGGGAGGTGGGCACCCCCCGCCCGGGGGTCCCACCGGGGCCATGTCACAGGTGGGGTGCAGGATGGGGGGGGGCCCTGGGGATCCCCCTCCCGGGAACAGACCCCCTCCAGGACACGGCAGCGCCCGGGGGGAGCC